GAAATAGCTCACGTTTTAATACACGCAAACCTTTGATAGATCCGGCCCTTTGTGTTTACGGAAGTAAGGATGGGTGTAGTGCTGGAGCGCATCTAGCATTCTTTCCAAACCTTAAAACCTCAATCTTTTCAAGATGGAAAAAAAAAAAATACTGCTCACCGCGTCATCGTCCGCCATGGTTATTTTTCTTGCCGCTTCTGTCTAGCAAGAAGCAGGTCGGATGAGGTCAAACACAGGTCGCATTTGAAAAGATCTGATTCGTATCGGATCCAGGACCACATTGCCAGGTGGCCTGAGTCAGATTGGTAACAATCAGATCTGTGTTGTTCAGACTGCCATGAAAAGATCAGATCCATGTCCCTGGGCAAAAAAAATCGCATTGGGGTCACTTCAGGCTGCAGTGTGAACGTAGCCTTTAAATCATATTGTTTTTGTTTTTCCTGATTAAGTCAGGAGATTTTTCTCGTAGTTTTGTGCATACAATCATAAAAGCATTCACTAGGTCCATTACATGCATTAGGTTTTAAAAACAAACATTGCATGTCCTTAAGACGAGGATCTTGTTAAAGAATGACCTGCATCATTTCACAGAGAATTAACTCTTTATAGGGAGAGGATTCTACAACTCAGTTGACACGATATGAGATTTATTTTATTTTTGGTTTGTTTAATATGAGCAACTCATTTATTTATTTTTTTGCAGTACATGAAGAAATACTAAAATTATTTTCAGATTACATATAAATATATTAATTAATAATCTTTGGGTTAGAATTAGGATTTATTCAATGATACCAAACTACTATGCCTGCTTGCAGGTAGGAGGCACAATCTGAAGCCATTCCATGGGACTGATAACCACTAATAACGGCCATTTATCAGGATGATAATGTCCAAAGTGTCTGCAAACAGCCATTTAGCATTTATTGTGTAATGGAGACAAAATCAAAATGAGAAGGAACCCCATGAGATGATACACAGGTCCTACCTCTTTGAAAAACATTTTCAGACTTCATCTTCACCTATTTTTGCCGTATTTTGATTCCAGAAAATGCGAACAATTTGCCCAGCCTAGAAACGGATTCAAGCAGGCTTCTCAGAGGTTAATGAACATGCTTTATAATACCTCAATGGTCTAACTTTGATAGTAAATCACAATCTGTAACAACCAGTAACACGATTATAGCTCTATTTTAAAATACATAAATAAAATCAAATAATGTTCTAAATATGACCTCTTCTGTATGAGAAAGCTTCAACAA